CCCATGCCCGCCCCTTCGCCCGGCCCCTGGCTCAGATCGCAGCTCACCCAGCCTCTTCGGTGGAACTCTCTCGACCCGGGCCCCCCTTCCCGGACGGCGGCCCGGGCCCCGAGATACGCGACGGCCGGGCAGGGGGGCGGGGGAGGATGTTTATGCGCCCGGCGGACAGGGCGGCGAGCGACCCGGGGCGCGCCCGGCCATCGCCCAGTGGCCCGAGAAACCCCACGGGCCGCGGAATGCGGTGGCGCGCATTTTTTCCGATCTCTCCCCGGCCCTCCCCGGTCGGTGGGCCTTCTCCCGGGGTGCAATTTTTCATCCCCCCCCCCCCCCCCCCCCCCCCCCCCCCCCCCCCCCCCCCCCCCCCCCCCCCCCCCCCCCCCCCCCCGACCGACTCCACCACCAGCACCAAGCTTGCCTCGGCTCGGGGTGACCGCTCGGATGACAGTGCTTCGGGATGAAGTTTCCCCCCCTGTCGCTCTTTCCGCGCAGGCTATGGCTGGGTTGCCGTTGGGGCGCGCTCCTGTCGCCCGGGGTCGCTTTCCTGGCCCGGCGTGGCCTCTCGCAGGCCTGTGGCCATCCCCCTCCCCCCCCCCCCCGCCCCCTCGCGGTGGTAGGCCCAAATGCCGCCGAGTCTGCGCCGGATGTCCCCGCGCCCAGCCAGTTGCCAACTGATTTTGTGTTTCCCGCCCGCCCGCCCGCCCGCAGCCTCGGGGGGTCCTGCGAGGTGGTCTCCCCCGCTCCAGCTTCGACCGGGGCAAGATCGCCCGCCGGAAACGCGACATGCTTCCGGATGCGTGCATTGCATGTGGGTGTGGGTGGGTGTATTGGGGGGGGGGGGAAGGACAATACAAGCGGCTACTCGCGCTTGCCGGCAGCCAGGGGAGTCGAGGGGGCCGCGGCATTGAGCGCCGAGTAGGCCGAGCTTAGGACCTCGGTCGGGGCCTGGGCCGGTTGGCCGGACCCGGTCGGGAGTTGGCGGAAGAAGGAGGTGAAATCCCCGGCGGTGGCGCTGGCTGGCGAGGGGGCGGGGGCCGCCGCACTACGCGACGACAGTGCCGACGGGGTGGACGGCGTGACCGCATCCTCCACCGGCCGGGATGCCACCGTGCCAACACCGAGGTTGTTGCCGGCTGCGACCGGGGCGGCGCCGGTGGCCGCGGGCGTCGAGGCAAGGGACAGCGCAGCGCCGGCATGCCCCGGAGCGGCCGCCCCCCCGCCCAGGGACATCGGCGAGCCGTACATGGTCGACAGCAAGGACGACAGGGACAAGATCGATGGATGGTAGGCATTGGCTCCGAGGGCCGATTGGCCAGTGCCAGTGGCTCCAGCACCGGCGGCGACCGATCCCGCTCCGCCCACCAGCCCAAGGGCTGCCAGGGGCGAGAGCGGCGTCGAGAAGGACCCGAAGCCCAGGGGATTGTCCATGGACATCGGCAGCTGGAAGAGGGACTGACCGCCCCCGGTGCCGACATTGGTCCCCAGCGCGTTGGAGTGCTGTGCCAGGTAGGCAGCCGGGATGGCACTCGCCGCGGAGGTGCTGTCCATGGCCCCAGTGCCGAAGGAGCCAGCCCCGGAGCCGGCCAGCGCCCCGAGCAAGTGCGACGGCAAGTAGGGCGCATGCGAGGATGCGGCCGCCGGCGAGGCCGAGGAGGCATTCCTGGCAGGCGACTGGCCCGCCAACAGGGCCGTCGATACGCCGGACGCCCCGGCCGCCGGGGTCGACAGCAGGGAGCTCGGCGCCAGCTGGAAGGCCGGCGCCAGCAGAGGGGCAGCCGCTTGGCTGGCCGCCAGGCCGGTCGGATCCACTGCCGCGGCGGTGGCACTCCCCTCGCTGGGCTGGCTACCGGCCATGGCCGGCGCTTCGGCCGGAGGAGCCATCAGCGCACTGGCACCGGCCAGCCCAAGCGAGGGGAGCATGTACTGCGGAAAGCAGACCCCCAGCAATGAGTCCGCCAGCACCGAAGTGACCGTGGGCATGCCAAGTTCCAGGCCCGCCTGTCGCAAGGAGTCCAAGGACTGCTGTGTGGCAATGCCGGCGGCCGGGTGTGCCGCCGGCGACCCATCGGTCTCCGTGGCCGGGGCCAGGGCATTCGACGACTCGTGCAAGGCCGAGGGCTTGAGCGAGCCGCCCACCGGCCGGCGCCCAGCCGCCATGGACGAGGAGGACCCGGTGGTGCCGGTCATGCCCACCAATGAGGGAAGTCGATCAAGCATGTCGCCCGCCCGCGCGGAGGCCCCACCCCGGAGGGGCGAGTGCCCGAGATCCGAGAACCCTCGCCCGCTGCGCGTGCCGGATGCCGCCGCCCCGGCCGCCGTGTCGCCCGGATCCAGGCCAAGCATGGCCATGGTTATCCCATCGGCATCGGTGGCGGGCCGGAGGAAGCCACCCTCCGTGAAGGAGTCCAATCGGGCGCTCAAAATGGATGGGTGCCGGGGCAGATCGCCGAGGTCGGTGTTTGCCGGTGCCATGCGTCCACCCAGGCCCGAAAACCCGGGGGTATTGGCGGCGGCGGCGGCGGCGGCGGCGGCAGCGGCGGCGGTGGCCGAGCCCGAGCCCGAGCCCGAGGCCGACCGGGCCGACGGCGAGGAGGGGGGATCCGAGGAGCCCGAGGAGGAGGGCGCCGAGGAGGTGGAGCCATTCTCTTCGGCACCGGTGGCGATGGCCGCGTCGGTGGTGGCTCCCCCGACGACCGGGGCCGCTGGCGGCGAGGAAGGTGTGAAGAGGCCTGGCCCTGGGGCCGTGGCCGAGGAAGCGGTCGACGCAGTAGCCAGGGCCATGAGCGAGGATTGCAGCGAGGCAGCCAGGGCCGTGGCATCGGCCGGCATGGTGGCCCCCGGGTCCGGGGCAGCCCCGGATGCCAATTGCGCCTCCAGCGAGCGGACCCGCTCCACAAGGGACACACACACATACAGCAGGCGGCCCTCGCGCTGGCGGATGGCATCTACCAACTGCCGAACGATGGCGGTTTCCCGCTCAAACCGTTGGACCAGCTCCAGACGAGCCTTCTCCGAGGCGGCCAGCTGGCTGCGCGCCTGGGCCAGGGTCCCCTCGCTGGAGGCCTGGACGCGGACGGCCAGCTGGGCCCGATCGGCCTCCCCGCGACGGAGGGCCTCCTCGGCCGCTTGCAGGCGCGCTTCAGTCTCCGCAAGGGCCAGCTTGGCACGCTGGGCCTGGTCCTGGGCCTGGGACAGGGCCTCCTGGGTGGCGGCATTCCGTGCGCGAATCCGCGCTCGGTACTTTTTGTACTTGTCATTGAGCGGAGCCCCGGTCGGCGGGGAGCCTGGGCCACCGGGGCCCGGGCTGTCGGCAAAGCCGCCCGGTCCCGGGGAGTAGTCCCGGTCGACCAACGGGCTGTCTGCCCGGCTGGCCGCATCCGCGAAGGCTTGCGGACTGGCCGGGCCAGTGCGCGAGCGCTTTGCCGGCGGCGGCGACAAGGGGGAGGGAGTCGCCGGGCCGGGGGGGACCAGCGTCATGGCAGGCGCTGGCTGACGAGCGGGTGGGGGAGGGGCAAAAAGGCGCGAGGAGCGAGGGGAGCAGGGGGGGGGGGGGGGGG